CTGCCTTACTCTCTGGAGGTATTTGGTATATATATATATATATATATATATAATATTAATTAATTTGATTTGACATATTGTAATTTTTCTGTTGATCTTAGCTCTTTTGTTGGCATACAAATAAATGAGGCATCAGGTACTCCTTTGTACATCCTTACATCAGACTGTACAGCAGCAGTGGAACCCACAGAGTATAACCCCCCCACCGTACCACATACACAGTTTGACTTTGGTATAAAAAATCTCTGACAAACATTTTATAACATCCTTCCAGTACCCTTATCATTCAAACATCTCGAACAAACATCTGGAATATTAGCAGACATATGATGAAGCTTGACAAGAGTCATGTACATTCTCATTAACAACTTATATTTAAGTAATTTAAACCTTGTATTCATTGTCTGTTTTTGTGCTTTTAAGCAAGCATCATTCCAATATGTCTCGTCAATATTCGCATGCAATTTCATATGCATTTCATTGATCTAGTGTTGATTCAGTACTATATGCTACTAATATGCTGTAATATTTAGATAAGTGGCACTTCAAATGGCATTAATCTAATGAACCCATGGTATTCATTACAAAAACTCAAAAAGGTTAGATGACTGTTGAGGGTAGTGGTGGGGCTGAAACAGGACTATAAGGGCTGAGGGAGGCCGAGGAAGCTGATCCAGAGTGATATCCAGGGGGAAAATGAGTGAGCTGGAAACTGGAGAAGAGCAGTGTTGCACACTCATCCTAACGAGGTGGAAGCAGCAGAGGCTGGAGTCAGGACTGGCAGGGGAAAACAGAGAGTAGAATGGGTACCAAAAGCTAATTAGCAAAAATACAAAAAAGAGCTGGAACGTAGCAGGCACTAACTGGTAGCTGAATCTACAATCTTGCAGTGTGGTGGTGGTTGAGCAGAGTATTTGAAGAGGCTTGAATATGGAGAAAAGCTGCAGCTAAAGGTTCTGCCCTGACTCCAGACATTCACACAAACATACAGGAAGAGAGAGGTAGAACTGCTCGAAGAGGGACATCAGGTAGCTGAAGCGGATGTCATACTATATCGTACCATACTGATATCGCTCCACTAAACTACTACCTTCCACCTTGTGCTATGTCTCATATCTGATACTATTATAATTAACCATATTGTACTTTATTATGTTAATATACTCACAGATATTTCCATCATATTCTATATTATATGTATACTACATCTCTATATTAACACAGTAAACACTACGATATGGCTAACTGCTACATTTATGAGCCATTTTTATCTACAGAGTCCGCCATGTTCAACAGCTTGGAGGGCAAGCATTATTTAGTTGGTTGCAATCTGAAACTGCACCACCAGATGCCCACTATATCCTACACACCGGCCCTTTAAGAGTGACCTTCACACTGTAAGTCATCATAGGATAATTGGCATTAATGTCCAATAAATCTGCAATACAAATAATGCAATTTTTAAACCAGCATATCAGCTTTGTACAGAGATTTCTTCTTAATAATAATAATAACCTTGGCTTTAGCTTCCTCAGCTAAGTCCAATTTTCCTTTTTTTCACCAAGTTGGTAAAAGATTTGTACAAATATTGATCTATGAATGTACTGTTTTAGAACTGTAATGGCAGATAAGGCTGGTAGTGTGTCTAGATATCACACACATCAATATGAAGCAACACAGAACTTTTGTTTCTCAAGAGGAAGTGTTAAAATGCTTGATTTCTCTTTATTTCTCAAGGCGTTTGAAGCATACAGTGTCATAACTAAGTGCCGCATTCATTTACCCAGACAGCATAAGATGGAGCTGACAGATCCCTTAAACATTTTAATGTGATGGTAAAAAGTGGAAACCTGTTTAGCTCAGCTCAGGTAGTGACAAGACGTACAAGTTTATCTGTAACTGCCATGAAGCCATATAAACAGACGATGATGACCAGGGTGTTTCCTGCGAACACGTAGACCAGTGTGGTGGTCCAGAAAGCAAACATGTACACAGTTCTGTTACAGTAAGGCACTGCAGCCACAGCACGTTGTGCCTCTACAGCTTTCAGGTGCTCTCTGTTTGCCTTACTGCTGATGTTGCCGAGGGCCAAAGTTTGAACCAGTTTCATTAAAGTCTGGTTGTCAGTGGTGATCCAGGTTTGGTTGAGGTTAAGAAGGGTCTGGTTCTGGTTTTCCAAGGTGAGGTTGGGCTTGGTGTCAGGTGCAGTGAGGCCAGGCATGGTGTCAGGTGCAGTGGGAGTGTAGATTGTTGTTGTCGATAGACTGTTGTTGAAGCCGTTTGGGTCGATGGTGTTCTTGGTGTAGTTGGGTGGATATACAGAATAAATCAGGTAACTGCCTGAGTATGGAAAGAGACAAAATGAATGAATGCATTACAGTCACCATCTGTAAGTTCAGTAGATATGTTACACAGAACCATTTGGGAAGTTGTTGTTGGAAACTATTTGGTAAAGGGCAGGTACTTCCAAAAAATACTTGAAATACTTGACAGGTGATTGGATGAACCCTCATGTCTCTGTCACCATCTATCACAAGCAAACTTCAACCAATCTGATCAATAAAGTCAGGTATTTCTTATCATGCTGATGTATGTTCAAGTGTTCATTTTTCTGATTTGGTTTTAATTAGTATTTTGAAGCTATGAAAAAGGGGGTTTACGTTACGACTGACAGTTGAGCCCTGCTTGCGATTGAGTTGACCGGGCTTATGGCCGGGACCACAATAACGCAGTGCCACACCGCTGATTGATCTGAACCATTGTGGTTGGACACAATCGCATAGCTTGAAGCCTAGCAAGAGAGATTTGAGCCCAGCTGCCTTGCACTATTATTATAATGGGGCACTACAAAAGTCTAAATCATTCTAGTTTAACATACTTACATTACAGAATAAAATGATATGAAATGCACAGGAACATAATGAACATGCAGCATCGTATTCATAATATTCGAGGTGGAGGATGCAGACTAATAGCTAATGTCTGCTTTTTAATACATAGCTATTATTAGCCCATGATGATAATGAGATTCTAAGTGTGACTTACCATAGAAGAACCAGATGAAGACAAACAGGACCAGGCTGATGATCCACAGAGTCCAGATTGTGTGGCCCGGTGCTGCTGGACAGAGGTTTGGTAAAGCAAACAGGCCCATAATCAGAAGGGCCAGTATCCCACACACCATCACATACACTGGGATAACTGGTGCTGCTGGACACTCGTACATGTACACTGCTCCTGTTTACACAGAGAAAAAGCATTTGGAAAACAAGGCATTTGTTTATTAGGCTACATGACTGTAGAGGTCATAGCACAACTGTTTGAGTGACTACAATGTGTATTGTGGATCACAAAATGTAAAAACAAAAGAGTTTTTTCTAAAATTCTTCTTTAAAACCTCAATATTGCCTTAACCTTTTAGCGAGAGTTTAAGGTGCCTATAAGGTTTAAGATTTTTAAAGTTATAAAATGATGTCATTAATGAACAGAAAAGACATGTCAGTGGATCACTTACCTATAGTGATCTGGGCAATTGGGAACGCTGTTACAAGGATAATGGTGCATCCTAAAGGAGGATATTGAGAAGGTTGAAATTCAATCTTAATAAATCTAGTTGTTCTTTTTCTTTGCTGTTTGCAGTTACTTACCTGCAATAAACAGACTTGCGCCAAACAAACTACATACACAGTTCCCCGCCATTCTGACTGTTAGAATGTTAACAGGTGACAGTGATGTGCTGTAAAAGAGAAAGGGATACTTCATTACCACAGGTAACCAGACTGACACTGCCGGAGAGCACTGGCTGACTGACTCGTTTGTGAGATAAAATGAAGAGTTACATTTTAGCAAGGAAAGAGAAGAGACTTACCGTCTGTCTTCTACTCGGTCTGTTAGAACAAATGAGTGTCAGGTGGGGTTGTTGGCCAAGTCAACATGTCTCAACTCTTCAGTGTGTCACTATAAGAGACACCTCAGCACATGTAAGCAAGGATTTTCCTCTGTTGAGTCAATATCGCAATATTACCACAGTACTAACACTTTACTACTGCACCTGCCACAACTGATGCTAACAGTAATCCCATTACCAGTGGTAGAATGGGATGGGAGGAGGGAGCCCCAAAAACATTTTAAATAATAGTCTCTCTTCTTTTCGACCTGTTTTGGGTCTCCATCAACTCCTGGGGGAGTGTTTTAGTTTCCTTTAGAGATATCTACGGATGCCCTGAGAGGCAAATGGGAGAAAAAAGAAAAGTCTGATCTAAATTGTATTTTCTTATGTGTATATGAGTTAAGAGGTTAGAAAAACAGGTTAAAAATTGATTTGTTTTTGTTTACTGTGTGTTAGCAAGTTATGTAACATTACTGTCAAAATGTATTTTGTTCGCTGCTAAGAGAAATTAAAACTCACCTGGAAGAAAACATGAATGCTTTTAGTCCTATTTAGAACATGGGATGGTGTTGCGTTTCAGCCTCTTGTGGATGAAATTAGTATTACAACAATGAACACTTACAAAAACTATGTTAAAAATATTTTTCAGATGCAAAAACTTTTAATTATTATTTTATTAACTTAGAACGTTTTTAAGAAATAAACACAGGAGAGAAAACAATTTAAATCAAAAGGATCACCAGATTGTTTTCTAACTTGCATCTCATGGCTTCCAAAGATACACGATGCTCTCTGATAGACAATGTTGTATTTCGAGCCCTGTGCTTTACTATCTTATTTGTGAAAGGTCTTTAGTGTCTTTTAAGGACAATATTATCTATAAAAACTATGGATTCATTATTTAAGATTTTTTTGAACTCCAGAAACTAGTGAACCGTGCCATTTTTTAGCCCTGAGTAGTGCCTGCAGGTCTTCCTTTCAGGCTGCATACAGTTCCAGCAACCTTCTCCAGTAAGGTAGGTCAGCCTATATGTAGCCTGAGAGGTGACATCCAAGATAAAAAAAAGTCTACAAGCCATTCTTGGCACCACTCACTGCTGCTTCTTCAGTTGGTAACTCTGAATGCATGGGACAGTAAAAACTGAATAGAGTCTGCCCTTGTCTGCATTATAGCAGTTGGACAGTGAGAGAACAATGTTCAGAGTAAGAAAATCAACCTGAAATAATAAAAGAAGAAAGAAAAAAATCTGATTTGAAAAGTGCCCCAAGGAACATATCTAGTCCCAGTGTTGCTTGCAACAGTGCCTGCACACTAACTGCCATGAGTCACCACATAACTGAAGATTGTGTGTGTCTTTTTCTCATTACACATTTAAGTGAGTCAGCATTGTTGCTGGAGTCAGCAGATGGTCTGATCAGTGGCTCTGCAACACAGGCAATTACCCAGTGGAAAGAAAGGAAGGTCGGTGCTGTGCTACATGCATGTCTCATACAATGTGGTAGTGTGTGTGTCAGTGTGTACATGTGTGTATAAAAGCACATGTGATAGGGATTTATCAGAACATATATACATATATCATTTGGATATGAACAGACCGTTTTGAAACACATTTGCTCAATAATATTAAATGTTTTCTATGCAACACCTACAAAATAACATCATTTCCAACCCACCTCTATCTGAGCTGAATTATTTCATTATGCATATAAAACACAGACAATATCAGCTGTCTGTGAACACCACTCACAGCCTCCACTGGGAGGAGGTCAAAGGTCATGGACCAGGACTCAGTGGACGGCCACACCAGTTCTTTATTTACTTACATGTTTTTATGGCTTATGTGGTAATATTTGATACCAGCCTGTTGTGTAATGTCCTTTTAAATGAGCAAGGTGGTAGGGGAAGCTTGAATGTTGGTGAATGCTACAGTGGACCAGTCCATGCTGCCCTCTGCTGGTTCCTCAACAATACAGCAGGAACCATAGTAGCAACCTTTCATATCTGTGACTTTAACCCACAACATTTCCTCCCAAAGACAACAAAATACAATCAAAAATAAATATTTTCTTCACTTTTGTGGTACATGCTACAAGATTGTTGATATACCACAAGAAGGCTTCTTTATATGAATTAATCACATCATAATTGTACTTCATTTGAATTATGTGTTGTATAATTTATAAATAATTGTATAATTTATTAATTGTTAACTATCTATCATTATTCTCTGACACCTTACAGAAATTCTAGTTGCAACATTAAACGATATATTTCACATACATACATTATACATTAGCCTGATGGTTTCTCCATTGAGTGTGCGCGCGGGCCTGGCCCCAACCATTCAAACTCCAGATGCACACCTGGGGCCATGTGTCAATATAGAACTGTAATGTAGAATTGATATTACGCTTACAAAAAATATGTTCCTGTAATCAGCTGGAACTCATTTTGCCTTTGTATGGACTGTTTTAACATGAATCCCTGTACCATCTATCTATTATTATATGTTTATTTCACTTGTCTCCAATGTTCTTATATTAAAACTTTTTTATAAGTGAGGATAAAAAAACATTGCTTATGCTCTCTCATTTCCAACACTATTGCATAACATCCCCTGTTTCTCTCACCTGACTCCACTTCCTGACCTCTATCCTACAGGATCTTCAAAACAATAAAGTAATCTACGTTTTGTGCCGCATGTGCAAATTCCAGTTCTTTTATGTTTTACTTTTATTTCAGTGGGAGCAGTCCGTGTCTAGGCTCGGTGCGGTGGCTCTCCACTTCCTCTCCCCTCATCCAGCTCATGTGACAGCGGCTCCGCTCACATTAGCTTCCTCCGCGGCTGGCTCGTTTGGACCTGCAGGTAAGAACACTCGTGTTTGCAGGTTGTTTTCTTACTGAGCTGCTGTAACGGAGCACTAACGTTACATGATGATCAACGTTAGCTGCTCCGTTACGCACTGTGAGCATGTGTGAGCTGTCTGACAGCAGAGGGTTCGTTTTTCTCGCCTTTTAACAAAACCGAAGAAGAAGAAATGATAGTTTTAAAACCGAACTACGGCTAGCTTGCTAACGCCACTGTTGTTGTTGTTGTTGTTGTTATTGGCGAAAGATGCGCGGAGCGAGCAAAGCTGAACAATACGAACACCGTCTGTGCGTTTAACCTTCAGCATTCAAGTTTATACCGGTCACTTCATCAGAACAACAGGCCTACCTTAGAGTCAAATGATCCTACCATTAGGAACTTAGTACTGCATTTAAAATGTAAAAGTACACAAGTATCATCAGCTAAACGCACCCAGAGTATCAAAAATAAGTATATAATACTAAATTAATTTTAGTTCATGGGCAATAGACCTTCACAGCAGCCATTTTCACATGAAATAGTAGGGTAAACCCAGGTGTTACCAATGATTTTATTTAAGGTTCCGTTCCATTTAGTGTATCAGAGCCTTTCCAGAGCTAACATGAACAGTAGCACCCTGACAGTTTGACTTGAATGGAACTTTTTTTGTGATCATTTTTTTTTTTTTTTGTCATGTTCAGGCAGCATACATGAACATTTACAAAGAGTTATATTGTAACCTTGATTACATACAGTGGGTCATTTTTATATATATATATATATATATAAATAAAAAAAAACTTTTTGTCATATTCACTGAAACTTTCACTATATCCTGACAGCAGAACATGAGTTAGATAATCTGTGAAACAATCAGGTTCCTCTGGCTCCTCCTAGTGCTCGTAATGGGCTTTTACAAGAATCCACCGGCCTGAATGCAAACAGCCAATCAGAGCTGAGAAAGAGGTTTTGTGTGGTGATTTGAAGGTAGCTAATTGTAGAGTCTCATTCCCAGCAAAGATATTTGACGACCTGGAAATGAGGACACCTTAGGGACCTCCTCTCCCTGTATATCCACACATCCGGTTCAACTTTCTGTGGGGACAACGAGAAAGCCGAGCATTCAGCCATGGTGACAGGATAAGGACAGGAATGACTGAAAAGAGGCAGCTCCCCATTTGTGGCAATCAATATAGGACTGTACGCTCGCAAGCTAAAAGAGTCACTCGTGAGGATATTCAAGATTATATTGATAATGCCAATTCACCACGATATACTTAACTGAGAGTCTTTATCGAAATACGCTATAATATTGTACATTGTCCCTAGTCCAAAATATTGGCGCCATATAAAAAATACTGATACTCTGCCTTTTAACAATCTGTCAAAGGAGTGTTCCCTTAAATATTGACAGAGTAAACAGATCTGAACATATGTGATAACCATCGCTGAGACAGTCTTCCATTCTTTTTGAAAGGAACAATGTCTGTGGTGAAGCTGGAGGAGTGTCGAGAGCGGATTCGCACAGAACTGGACAACGTGGTGGACTTCTGGCTCAAATACTCTCATGACACTGTACACGGGTACTGTAGTTACTATTGTCTGCTGTAATACTATCAACTACATTGTGTATCCTTGTCTCGAACTTGAACGGCTGCTTCCTGTTTCAGAGGCTTCTTTACTTGTATCGGGAGGGACGGGAAGGTTTATGATGAACTGAAGTACGTGTGGCTGCAGGGTAGACAAGTGAGTCTCTGTGGTGATACTGGCTGTGTAAAACAAGCAATCCACCTGTTTGAAACGTGGTTATCTGATGTTATGTCAATATTTTCGCTTGCTTCTTTCACAGGTGTGGATGTATTGCCGCCTGTACCGAACCATGGATCGCTTCCGCAAGCCTGAAATCCTTGAGGCAGCAATAGCTGGTGTGTGAATGTAAAGCTTGATTCTGCTAGTTTAACTTGAGTCAGAGCAGTTGCGAGTCCACTTTATCAAGAAGTGTCTGGATTCATCAGAAGCTCCACAGTTTTTCTTTATTGTCACCAGTGTCTCAGAGCAAGATAAGTTTTCTCCATGTTCCATTGTTCCCAGACTATAAATTCCAATCTTTTTCAGGACCCTCGGAACTTTCCTCTAGCATGAACATAATGCTACACTTTCCACTATTCAAACTATCCAAAAATTGTAGCTTCTGCTTGGATATATAAAAAAGTCAAAAAAGTGATGGAAACACCATTTGGGAAACATAAATGTTTCACAACAAGCTATTAAATACATACGGAGCTTTCAGTCTGGACCAGTGTAGGGATGGCTGTGGGTAGATACTGGTTGGTTAAATGCTCCCCAGATGATAAACCCTGTAGTTTTAATGAACCCAGATCACTTTTAGCAGTACTGGTGAGCCTTGGGAAGAATTCATGTCTGTTGTTCTTTCAGTTCAGCACTTTAGTATTATTGGGTGTCATGAAGATGCTACATCTTTTTTTTCCTCAAAAGGATATTCTCATTTTCCAACACTTTTAGTTTTTTATAAATTACCGTCCCCCTAGTTGCCCGAATTCATCACTTGGAAACATTTGTAAAAACACAGGCAGATTCAGATATTTTCACCCTAAAAGCCTGGATGCCCAGATGTTGAGCTGCAGATCAACAGCACAGTGTCACTTTTGTAGACACAGGTGATTAATGACAGCCATGATAGCGTTTGCTCTGTACTTTCCGCTCATCATCAAGGCACATTAAGTGCACAACATGTCGCTACTGTTGGGTAAACCTTGGATCTGCAAAATGCCCCCTTTTTTACAGCAACTAAGAAAAATAGCCTTTTAGCTTGACCACAGTTTATATGTGACGTTAGCTAGAAAGCTTTTATATATATATATATATATATATATATATATATATATATATGTGTGTGTATGTATGTATATATATATGT